TCTAAACTTTGGTTCTAGGCCAAAACCCAATCCCAGTGGAGCAGAGGGAAGAAATGGAGCTGTTTGACTCGTCAGGGTCACATCCCAGCCGGGATCCTGAGAGCCCGGCTGAGGCCATCTGGTCTACCCCAACCGTCCTTGTGTTCAAAATTAAAATGCCTGCAATGAGCCTTCCCACGTGAGACAGGGCAGACAGAGCCACCCCAGGGCCCCACCTGCTCATATATCTCAGCTGCCCAGGCCGGGCTTCCTGTGGCTTCAGGTTTACAGCTCCTCCAGGATCAGACACCACTGCCAAGGGAGCCCGTTCAGTGACTGACAAATCCTAAATGCCAACTGTCATCGCTGACACCTGCTACCTTCTGGGCCCAAGCCAAGCACAGCCTTCTCTGTAGGCCCATCACGGGGCCACAGTTAAGGCCACTTGAGGCCCGGCCGCCTGCAGTCTTGCCAGGCAGGCACCGGGAGTGTCTTCAGGCCTGCCAGTGGCGCAGGGACTCTGAGGCCCTCTCTGGCAGCCAGCCAGTTTCCCACCACACTCCTGCCTCACTCCATGATTCGGCACACTCTTTCCTGCTGTGTGCATAGGGCTATTAGGGAGTGAAAAGACGGAAACATGGCACGGTCTGTACCGTGTGGCTCCCAGGAGACTTCCAACACGGGGCTGTGTCTGCCAGTGTTGATGTGGTTCTCTGTGGATACCTCCTGATTCCATGGCGGCCCAGCCCCCAGGTAGACAGGCATCTATGGACATCTCTTGCATTCCCCGAGGCAGCCAAAAGCCTGCACTCCGTCTTTGCATGAACTCGATGAAGGTGGCTGCCCCTTCCTCGAGGCCCTTTCCTTCCAGCTGAGCCAAAATCACTGCAATAAACATATGGGTCTATGATGGCCACGACGTAATGGTATTCTCCGTAGTTGTACTGTGCGCAACCTGAGCAACTGTACTTGGCTGGGCTGAATGCCCACCCCCTTTACCTTCCACAGCTCCCGTTAGAGGAATCTGCCAAAGGAGGGTACACTGGGGGTACGTTAAAGTGCTCTCCTGCCCTGTTCAGAAAACACATCGGAAGAGAGCACAACGGGATTACATTTTTTTCTCATTAACAAACACAGTTAGAATCTTACCAAGAGTAGATGTTATGGCACGTAGGGAGATTCAGAGAGAAAGGGGCGTGATGCGTACTCCCAAGAAGCCCACAGGTGATGGCTTTGAAGGTGAGAAGGGCCCCATCAGAGGCCTGGACAAGGCTGGAGGGAACCCCCGTGGAGAGATTATGTGATGGCCCCTTGTCAGGAGGGCTTGGGTGGACGTGGCCGGCAAAGGGAACGTGGAACAGAAGGAAGTGAGGTACTGCGAGGACGTGGGTAAACGATAAGGCCAAGTGGAGGGCGTTTCAGGGGAGTGAAACTGAGCATATGGAGGAGACTCGGCCGTGAGGCTGGGCTGCGATTGGGGTCCAAGGCAGGGGGAAGATGCAAAGCAAGGTGGGCGTGATCACTTTGGAGTTGGGCTGTTTGCGGCCCTAGGCCCCGTCCCCAGGGACCAGGTGGTGGTGATTTCTGCGTGCACAGCGCGGGGAGCAGCACGGGGACCGTGCACGTGCCGAGGTCCTGCCCCAGTGAAGTCAGATCTCGCGCGTTGGGGCTGCGTCTGGAGGGCAGATCTGCTCGGGCGGAGGTCTGGGGCGGAGGTTCAGGCGGCCTCTGGTTCTCGGGGCTTCGGCGCATCTCTGGCGGCAGCACACAGAAGCCACGTCTTCCGGATGCCGCGGCTGCCGTCCTGAGACGGTTTTTAGGTTCATAGAGCGGCCAAAAGAGCCCCCTGGGAGACTCTCACCTGGGGAAGGCCCTGCCCTGAGGTCTGGACTGTGGGATTTCCCATTCTCATCCCACGCGGGTGGTCGGGCCATTCGGACAAAACTGGACATTTGCTCCTGTTTTAAGGGAATGACTCTTGTGTTGGAGTTTCCCATCGCTTCTCAAGGACTGCTACCCAGATTGTAGGTTTCTAAGAGCCCGGAACTGCCTTTCCCGTCCTGGGCGGGGCCAGCTGTGTGCAGTGGGCCCTCCACAATGCTGAGCCGCCCTGCCCTCTGGGGACCGTCCCGGAGACCTCTTCACTCGAAACCCTGCGGTTTTCCTTCGGCCACTGCCACCCCTGTTTTGCACGCCTGCGTTCATGCCCATTTTGCTCCATTTCACGTGGCCCCGTGCTGGGTAACCCCAGGAAGAGGTCGCTGTCTCCTGGGGGGTTCGGCACGTGGGGATGCTGACGAGGGCACCTTCCCCTGTTGTGAGGGCAGGGGCACTGCCCTCACTTGCTCTCAGAGTCCCTGCAAGGCAGGAATTACTGCTCCCACATTGCAGATAGGGAAACTGAGGCTCTGAGAAGCTAAGCTGGTGAATGCCCAGGTTGGGATTCAAACCCAGGTCTGTGTGTGAATGAAGGTGAGATGGGGTCATGACGGGCAGGGCACCGGGGGCTGTTTAGCTACTGAACTAATGCAGGAGAGAGGAATTCAAGCTGCTTTCTTCAGATCAGAGACTAAGGAGCCGGGCGTTTTCTCGGTGAGCAGGACGGCGTAGCCACACAGCACAGGGCCAAGACAGGCAGCCACGAGCAAGTCGTCAGGAACCGCCGCGAGGTTTAAGAGGGGACTCAGGAGAGGGGCTCTGCCGTTAGCCTGGGAGGGGTCCTTACAGGAGGAAGAGGGGGTTGGCACACACCGACGATGACCCCGCTCGGGACGGTTGCTGTTCTTAACACGTGCTGCGTACCTGGGCTTAGATGGATTGCTTTGCTGACTCCTCGTGAGGTCCTCAAGGCGTGCCTTGCTATTATTCCCATTCTGCAGAGCGGGACCCTGAGGCTCTGAAGGTCAGAGTGACCTTGGGGCCAGAGCAAAGCCGGGATCTGAGCTGAGCTCTGCGTGACGCTAATGCCTTCCCTCGCCCTCCACGGTCGGTAGGGAGGGAGTCAACCAGTGGCCGGCCAGCCACACTGTCCCTAACAAGTTCCCCGGCCTGGGGGACAGCTGGAGGGTCCAGCTGAAGGTGTCGGGGGTCGCCTGCCAGGCGGGTGGAGCCGGCCCATGGTGAGGCCACGAGAGGGGAGAGCGGGACAGGGTCACCTTGGAGCCGGGCGGAGGCAGGCGTCGGGGGCCACATGTGTCCCCAGGGGGGCAGGCACCATCCTTCCAGAGTTTCAAGGGGCCGCTCCTGCAGGGGGACGTGCAGCTGCAAAAGGTGTGGCTTCAGCAGACTGGCCCTTGGAGGCCTCTCGCTGGAGGAGCAGGTGGCGGGTTTGCACCTGCCCAGCCAGGGCGCCCTCAGGCTTGAGAAGTTCAGAGGTGGGGAGAAGGGGTGGTGGGGAGACAGTTGTGTCTGTATTCTGGTCGGGGAAGGCACGGGATGGAAAGGCGGACAGGCCTGGTGGAGGGTCCACTCCCCCCAGAGCCCCGCCCACCAAGCCCCTCCCCTTCCGCTCCTGTGGTTCCCGGGTCCTGGCTCCCCGCCAAGCGGCAGTTAAAGCAATGGCTCCCTGGGGCCCCCCCGTACTTGGCAGGCTGAGTGAGTGCCCAGAGACTGAACCCCGGCCCAGGTTCTGAGAACACCCTGGACCGGTCATCCTGGATTGTGTGGTCTGCCTGTTGTCAAGGTGTGTGTCCCTCCCTGCTTTCCTGGAAGGCAGGGCCACGCCCACGAGTTCCTTTGTGCGGCACCTCTTGCAGGGCTGGAGGGCTCAGCAGCGGGTCCGGACACCTGTGTGTCCTCCGGCTGCGTCCCCCACCTCTCGGAAGCTGCCCCGGCTCGTCCGTGCTGTGCGATGCTCTCGGCTGCTGGCCCCTGCCGGGCCACCCTACCTGGGTTGCAAGCGGGGGCCACGAGCTTCCTGCAGGAGGCGAATCCAGTGCTGGGCAAAGCTGACCTTCAGTCGTCTGGGACTTCGAGCCCGTCCCACCGTTCGCCGTCTGCATCCCCAGGCCTCCCCCTCCAGGACAGAGGCCTGCGGAATTGCTGGGGGCCCGCCCGCCGGCGCCCTTCCGCCTCACCCTGCCCTCCCACGCCAGCCCCTTAGGACCCTGGAGAAAGCCTCTCTGGGCTGCCTCCTGCCCCTCCCCTGCAGCGGCCCTGCCCGCCCCCTCCGACTTACTTCCGGGGCAGCAGGGAATCCTAGAGGGATGCGGCCCCCGGAAGGTGGGCGGGGTGCCGGGAAGTCCACCTCGGTCCTGCACCCGGTGCCGCGGGCGGTTGATCACGTGGCGACGCGCCCGTACTCTGGATGGTGGGAGGCTCTGGCCACCGAAGCAAAGTTGGAGCTTTGGGGTTTCTTTCCTTTAAAAAAAAAGCAAAAATTCTGTGCCAAGAGGCAGCTGGTGTGGCTTTAGACTGTGTCTCCAAGGGGGAGCCTGCAGCCCCCTTTCTCCCCATCCCCACGCCAGAGGAGGCCGGGTTGTCAGTGGCTTCCGTGTCACTGGAGTGACCTGCCCCCGCCCGCCGGCCGCCCCCTCCGCCGGCCTGCGGTTTCTCCGCGCGGGATGACGCCCGGCCGCCGCCGCCGCCGCCGGTGGCATTGTGGGCTCCGCGGAAGACCGAGGGGGGCCCGCGTTCCCCCGGAGCAGAGGGAGGGGTCGCCGCGTCTCCCGGTACCTGCGGCTGCAGGGAGCACAAAGAATGTGATGTTTTTTTAAAGCCCTTCGAGAAGAAGAAAAAAAAAAACAAAGCCTGCCGCCTCCTGTCCGCTCCGGCTGACTTCCTTGCGCCGCCCTGGATGCTGCCTCCGGCCCGGGCTCCGTAACGCGCGGCCTCCTCCGTGCCCGCGGGCCACTTACTTTCTCTGCTTTCCGCTGCCCAGAGCCAGCCCGCGCTGCCATCACCATGTATGACTCCTGCCTCCTGCTCGCTCCCGCTCTGCCTCTGCCCGGCCCCCCCCTCCGAGCCCGCCTATCCCGTTAGCCTGCCCCCCAGCTGCCTTCACTCCTCCTGCACCCGGCTTGCTTGCCTCCATGCTGCCTGGAGCCCGCGAGCTGGGGTGATTAATTGGCTATGATGATGAACGTCCCCGCTGGAGGATCGGCCACGGTGATGATGACGGGCTACAGTAATGGGCGCTATCCCCGGAATTCTCTCTACAGTGACTGCATCATCGAGGAGAAGACCGTGGTCCTGCAGAAGAAAGACAATGAGGGCTTCGGATTTGTGCTCCGCGGGGCGAAAGGTAAGAGCAGCGGCTCCCAGCCTGGATACATCCACATGTGTGTGTGTGTGTGTGTGTGTGTGTGTGTGTGCACGCCTGTAGAAAAAATGTTCCCCGGCTCAAAAAGAAGCCCTTTTCCTGGGGGTACTCGGTTGCTAGACAACCATGTTCTTTAACATTCTGCCTGTTAAAACATCGGGGCTTCCTTTAGGAATATTTTTAATTTTCTGTACACAATATTGCTCGCTCTCTCCCCCTCCCCGTCCCTCCCTCCCTCCCTCCCTCCCTCTCTCCCTCCCCCCACTCTTTTTTTTTTAATTCCTGGGTTTCATCTGTGTTTCATGGTTTAGTTCAGCCTGACTGTGGCTGGCTTCGGAGCTCCTGGTCTCAGACGCCCAGAATTACCCGGTCCCGAGTTTTGGGCACCTCAGAACTGCCCCGTTCTGGGAGTGGGCCCCAGCTCCGAGTGCGGCAGGCGTGCGGGTGCCCGCCTCTAAGGTGACTTTGCAAGATGGTCCCCTCCGCCGTGGCCCAGCCGGCAGCATACGTGTCACGTGGCCTGCAGTGAGGGCTCCAGGAACGTGTTCCACGGCAGTGCACCCACTGCCAGCCCTGAACTTGGGGTCTTCCCTTTCAGAATAAAACAAAATGGCATCGCGTCCCCGTGCGAGGAGACATCTGTGCCCCGCGTGTGTGGGGAAACCGTGTGCAAGTTTGATCTCGGAGCCTCCGTGCCACGCTGGGGGTCCCGCACCTGTGCTGGCCCGGGAGGCCTCCTTCCCCGGTGGCAGCCTCACCTGCTCAAGGCCCGGGCTGCCCTGACAGCAGCTCGTCCAGAGGGAGGGAGAAGAGATACATCTGTCCCCCGTGTGTGTCCATGACTGTCTGTGTGATGTCTCCCCTCCCCCGACCGAGGCCGTCTTCCTCTTCCCACCCGCCACCCCCGGCCTCACATGGCCACCCAGGAAAGTCCACCTCTTCCCCTAGAGTTTCCCTCTGCAGCTCTGGGGCCCAGAAGCCAACACTGGCTCTGCTGAGGAGTGGGGGCCCAGCCCTCCCATGGACGCTGGCCGCACAGTGGCCACAGAGAGCCGGGCTCCCAGCAGAGAGAATTCATAAGCGGATTCCAAATCTGCAGCCACCCACTGGGTCAGCGTTCTGTTCCGTCCACGCTCCAAGTTGAATTCCCTTGGTAGCGAGTCTACGTAGATGTAAATTTGGCAAGCAGTTCAGTGTGGTGTTTCTGTAGCTCCATGTGGTTATGGGGGGAACTTTTCCATTTATAGAACTGAAAATGTTTAGTCACTGATGCTTTTAAAGAAAATGACAGGCGTGTACATACAGACATGGACAGGGGAGCACGCTATCCTGTGTTCTCAGCGCAGAGGCCAAGAGGGATGGTGGTAGCACCAAAAGGCAGTTGGCTCCGTCGCTTGAGTTGCTGTTGACCCGTGACCAGGAGTATCAGCCCCTTCCCAGGGGAGAGCTGGCCCGGGCCACCCACTTCCCACGGAGATACAAGGGCCTGCTTTCTCCCAGGGTCCCGTGGGAGGCCTGGGCTACCAACTTGGAAACATCTCCCAGGCTTGTAACGCGGTATACCTTGTCTTCCCAGCGGATACGCCCATCGAAGAGTTCACGCCAACGCCAGCGTTCCCAGCCCTGCAGTACCTGGAGTCCGTGGATGAAGGTGGGGTGGCATGGCAGGCCGGACTGAGGACTGGGGACTTCTTGATTGAGGTAGGGACAGCGGTGTTCATATCCTTCTGCTTGGGGAGAGTGCCGCCTCTCGTGGGGTTGGGGTCTGTGGTCTTGGCAGCATGGTCACTGGGCCAGATCTGGGGGCGGGCATGGAGGCTGCCGTGGACCGGGGTTGCTTGGTTATTTCCACCCACGGTGGATGCCATCTTCTGAGGACTGTGCGTTGGGGTTGTCTTTGAGACTGTAGCTTTATCTCTTTGGAGGTTTAAAATGTATGTAACTTGGCCGTTGGTCTTGAAGTAGGAGGTAGACGGAAGAGAAAGGTGGTTGCCGTGATGTCGGGGACACGCGTGGACGTGTGGTTGTGACTGTATGAATAGACCCAAGAGGGGCCATGGCCCGTTCTTGTGTCACGAGGGCAGGCTGGAGACCGCTGTACTACGGCTGTTGCTCTCGTGAGGTCTGTAGCGTTGGTGGCCGAGAGTCTGTTGATTTTTAAGTCGAAGTAACTGACCGGTTGGATGGATGATGGCCTTCCAACACCAAGGAGCCTGGGCAAGGTGGGTGGCTGGAGTTGATGGTACAAAAAGGAAACTTTGAAACTCAGACACTGGGAAAACTAGCTTTTGCTAGTAGGTGAAAGGAGGGAGAGTCCTCTTCGTTTAAAAAAATCTCACTAGACGTGAGTGCCCGGCTGCTTCAAGCCTCACCTGGAGTCGCCATGTTGGTGTGTCTGAGGTACCAAGCTGCCGGCGCACTTGAGCTCCCCGCCTTTTGCACGTTTAGGTGTTACTTTCAAAGGAATGTGTTACCCTTTGGAAATATCAAGAATAAAAGACTATGTTATACCTTGAAAAAATTATTTCTAAGAGGCCTGGTGAGCTCAGATGGCCCCCGTTGGGAGTTCGTGTTTCTTGCAAGAGCATTCCTTAGGGCTCACCCTCAGCCCTGTCTCATCTGCTCCGGAAATCCACCTGTAGGTGGAAAGAACGGGTGCGTGGTGTCCAGCCGGGCACTCGGTGCCTCTGCCGTGGGGCCGGCCAGACACTTGTTCGTTCTGGAAAGGAGGAGATCCAGGCCATGGCGAGACGGCGGCTTAAAGCCATTTCTCTCCACGATGCCTAACCTTCCAAGGGTGCTTTTTGAGCTGCAGTTCTACTCATGATCTCCTTGGTGTTTCTGAAGACTGTGAGAGTGTTGGAAACCCGGAAGGAAAGGTACTGTTGGAGGAGAGAGAGCCGTGAAACAGAAGGTGCTTTACCTTATACCAGGCATCGTGCGTCGGTCTCACTCTATGTGCTGAAAGATGTATTTAAATTACTACTGACCAATCAGAGCCTGGCTCCGATGAAGAATTGCACTCCTTTGGATTCTTGTCCACTGAACCTGTGGGATGCGTACCCAGCATGGTGGAGACTGAAACCCGCTGTGGTTTCATGAGTTAACTCGATTTGTAACCTCATGAAAATGCAGAGACTGGGTTGAATCATCTTCTGTAGGTTGCAGTTGTGATGTAAGTCCCCTTCCCGTGTGTGTGTGTGTGTGTGTGTGTGTGTGTGTATGAGAGAGAGGCAGAGACAGAGAGAGAGACTCCAGTAAGTTGCCATCGCTGTTGCTGGTTTTCGGTTTTAAATAATAAATGAGGGCTGCAGAGGCGGGAGCATCCCTGGTTGTTGGGTTCATCAGATTGTTTCCTTGATAAACTAGTCAATAAAAGAAGCGTGGGACGGCCACAGAGCGTTTGCTGGGCCCACCCCTCTCCCAGGAAGCAGAGCTGCGCTTGGTTGGCGGACATGTCCTCAGCGCACACCTGGGCCAGGTAGAGAAGGCATGCCACCCGGTCGGATGGATGGAAGGCTCCATGGAAATTAGGAGCATTAAGAGTTTCTGCCCTTCTGTTTTCCAAGCACCTCCTCTGACATTGCTTCTAACCTCTGCTGTGCAAACGTATTTGCCGCTTTTATATTCTGGGCAGCCTCTGAATTCCAGGGTTCCAGGGATGACTGGCCCTGAGCTGCCTTAAGGTTATGTCTGTCTTATTATGTCTCAGATGACCTGAAGGAGATGTGGGCCCAAAGCAGCCCCAGGCCCTACAAGGCTGCTCACCACAGGTCCTACTCTAATGGGGAACACAGTGGGCCGGCCGGTGTGTGTGGTGGGGGGCCCTGGGAACCTCATGGGGCTCAGAAATTCTCCTTTAGGAGCTTGGGTGTAAAGGACTATCTCCACTGAGTTGTTTTCCCAGCTGCCGGATTCCGCCACTGGAATAGTAAACTCATGTATAGCCTTATAGGTGCATGTTTTCTCCAACAGAAGATCTTTCTATGTTTTTCAGCGAAAAGCTTCAACCGTGGAGGGGTTGTTTTAGACAGACTAACATGTCATAGGTGGATCTTTGTTTTGACCGGAAGCCATCCTGGAGCCTGGGGTTTCCGGGCTCTTGGTCAAGTGCAGGGTCCTGTTTGGAAGCTGCCCCGAGGGCGGGCAAACTGTCCACATCTCCCCACCCCCCCACCCCGCACCCTCCCGCAAGCCTTCCTCTCTCTTTGCCATTGGAAGGGGCTCAAAGCGTGTCCGACTTTTGCTTTCACTTTAAAAACGCCTGCTGCAGTGTGAACTCTGGGACCAAGAGGCAGCTCCTGAAGTGAATGTTCACTCTTCCGAGTCTTCAGCTGCGACTGAATTTCATTCTTCCTTCTTGGACTTTGACGCACACACGGTCATCTTGCCGGCATCAACCCTGTCGAGGGTTTCCTTTGTGCGTGCCTTTCTTAGGCGCTCGTCCTCTAAAATGCATCTCTCTCTGCCTTGCCCTTGGGGAGGAGTCTGTTCTTTTGTTGTTGGTATTGTTTCTTTGTTGACCACGCCCCTCCCTCCTGCCCAAAAGCCAAAGGTCTGAATGAAGTTGTGTGGAAAAGGCTATCTTCCAGTTGGGAATTACGATGAAATAGATGGGCCCTGGTGCGCCAGCAGGTTGTCATGAAATCTCATCTCAGGGGTGGAGAAGGGGAAGTGGGCGCTCCGTGCATGGAGACACTCGAACAGGCGGCTCTGTAGACCGTGTGTGTTTACAGTTTTCAGATCAGCTTGACGTGCCAGAGTCCCCCGGATGGCTGATGACGCTGAAGCTTCCCCAGAGAGCTGTTAGGGGCAGCGGGAGTGGACAGGGTGGGCGGTGGGCTCTGAGTGTCCCTTTGGGGACCTGGGGGGGCGGGGAGTGATCCTCAGAGAGGTGGGCCGGGGGCAGTGACAGCCCAGAGGGAGAAGCAGGCGGGGGAGTCTGGGCAAGTTTTCTTCCTGTGCGGGTCACATTTAAGGTTGGGGCCTCCACCAGCCAAGAATGATTAAGGACCAAAAGGAAGCCCAATTCAGACTGGTTTAAATAACAGACGTCTCGGAGAGTTGCCGTCGAAGCTGAGAGGCAGTCAGCCTCAGACACAGTGTGTTGAATACTCCGTCTGCTATTTCTTTGAGATTATCTCGGGTTCAAGCTCCTCGACCACAGGAGGTGGGGCAGGAGAGACCGCTTGCCGGGAGGAGTCGTCAGGAGGACGGGGATGGGGTGACAGTTTTGCATGAAGTAATTAAGGAGACTGGAGGTGGGGGTGTCATTCTGATTCCTGCAGGGACTCAACAAACTGGAGTGCCCGTCGGCCTCACCCAGTGAAAGCCGGCTGGGCACCAGGGTAGCCTGCAGACCTTTCAAAGACACTGAGACCTGGGCTGAGCCCACACCCACAGGATCGGAACCACGAGGCAGGAACATCAGCGTTTCTAGGGAGCTTCGGTGACGCCGCCGGGGGTTCCGCTGGGCAGGAAGGGTGATGACCGGCTGGCCTCATTGTTCTGGCTCTTTGAACATCTTAATTTAGCGTTCTAACAAAAACACAGAAGCAGGCACCGCGCTGGTCTCACTGGCTTTCTTCCACAAGCCTCCCCATTTGGAAACTCGAGTTTTGTTTCTTGCGTTACTTTCGTAAACTCAAATATCCTGTATCTCAAGAATTGCTCATACTACAACTAAACCGTAAACATCTGAAGAGCAAACAACATTGACAGCAAATACAACCGAAGGCCCGTGTCCTTATTCGGAGTCACGAGGGTGTATCTGCCATGCACTGCAGTGTCTCATCCGACCCTCACAATAATCCTGTAAAATAACATCGGTATTATCCCCATTTTACAGATGAGGGGACTGAGGCACAGAGAGGTTAAATCACTTGCCCACGGTCACGCAGCAGGGGAGCAGGGATTCCAACCCCGGCTGTCTGAGTCAATAACACCACAGCTCAGAGATGCTAGGAGATGTTTTGATGGGCCGGATGTGTACATGGGCACAGAGTAAGAAGAAACACGGGCAACGAGAGGCCAGTTTTTATTTTCAAATTAGCAAACACTTTTTTGATGACTATGCCCGTCGCTGGTGACAGCACTCCTAGGTTGCCATGTGAAAGGATAAATTGCCGTAAACCTTTTAGAAATTGACGGGGCAGGTATGTGATGAGAGCCATAAAGCTGAATCGGGAATTTGACATTGAGGAGCCCATCCCCCACCCTCAGGGAATGATCTAAAAAACAGGCAGAGATCACAGTGCGGCAAAAAGAAAAGGGTGGAGGTAGAGGGGGATGGTGAAGGGGACACCATGCATCGGTTGTGGATTTATAAGAAAGCATTAAAAATTATGCTTGCAAGAAGTTCTCACTACCAACAGGAAACGGTTACCTCATATTAGGTGAAGAGGACAGAATTAAAGTTATCTGCACAATAGCCTCTAAATGATACCACCTCCCCCCAACATAAGCATAGGAAAAAAAGGAGAGAAAGTATTAACCCCTAGGTGATGGGATCCTGTGTGATCATTTTCTCTTTTGCAGACTTCTCTCTGTTTCTCAGATTTTCTAGAAAGACAGTATTAACTTTCGACAGGGATTCATTTCACAAATGGAAAATTATTCCTTAGAAGACGCCATCTCAGGCAGACGGGCAATGTCTCAGCCTCCGTGGCCACAAGGAGTTACTGTTTGCTTTCAGGTCAACA